TAGTAATATATCAGTTACTTTTCGTGGTCATCATATATTATATTAGATAATCGTTTTAATTTAGGAAGGATCAAATTTTTGCGGTTAGTTTTCAAAGGTTTAAATTTGTTGGGTTTAAAATAATTATCTAATAATGTAACCTAATAATATAAATCTTTAATACTTTAAATTATATTATCTAATATAATATACGCAAATTAAAAAACCCAAAGAATTTAAACCTTTGAAAATTAACCCCAAAAATTTGAACCTTTCTAAATTAAAATGATTATCTAATAATGTAACCTAATAATATCAAATCTTTAATACTTTAAATTATATTATCTAATATAATATATTACCACGAAAAGTAACTGATATATTACTAAATGTGCCAGTTCAAAGTGAACATATATTATGTATATTTTCTATGTTGAATATGTACCACGAAAAGTAACTAATAGATCATTCAAGGTGCAAATTCAAAATGAACGTACATTATATATATTTTCTATGTTTAATATGTACCACGAAAAGTAAATGACAGATTATTTAAGGTACAAATTCAAAATGAACATACCTATATAGAAGTAAAACAGATTTCAATCTGCATATTACAGTTTTCTAGAAAATAACTGCAATGAACATACATAAAATATATTTTCTATGTTGAATATGTACCACGAAAAGTAATTGATAGATCATTCAAGGTGCAAATTCAAAATTAACATACATACATATAAGTAAAACAAACTATAATTTGCATATTACAGTTTTCTAGAAAATAACTGCAATATGTTTGTAACGTATTGACCAGCTGTGGGCCCACTTAGCGAGATGTATATATGCATGTGTGTGTGAGAGAAAAGAAAGGACGAGCGTTGTACTGAGACGGACGGCCGCGACCGGCACCGCTCTCGGTTTCCCTCTCCACTGAATTCTTAAACCTATGCGCACGCATGCGACAGCGTGGATTTCATTGGCCGATGACGACCAACGGATTTTTATGCGTAACGAGCACGCTCTTGGGGAGAGCATTATGCTTCCGAAGAAGCTCGACGACTACGTACAAGATAACCTGTATGAGGCCGAGACCTCTCATTACTTTGTACTTAATATATTCAATAAACATATTCAATTACATCGATACAACATTTGGTGCCTCCTGTGAGGTCGTTCGTGGCGACAGAGCGGACGACGATAAAACGAAAGGAACCACGGCCGTGGCTGGCGACGCGGCTACGACAGAGAACAGGTTAAGACGCGAAGACAACCAAGCCATCTAACGTCAACGAGAGTGCGCTAGGCGAACCTGGGAGACGAACATCAGGACGAGATACAGGCTAACGGCGAGTATTACATGCATTAGTCGATATTAGATCAAGCAATTTGTTTCCTTGCATCCTTCTCTTCCCTTTGATTCGTCTTTGTCATTTCGACCATAGCCGATCGAGTCAAATTACTTGTTCAAAAGCGAACGTCTTTAAAGTCGCAGATTTACTGGTCTAACCAATTTGATCGAAAGGGAACGTTACGACAAGGCCACGTTAAAATTACGTATGGCTCGAATCACCGAGCTTTATCACGCATTCGAAGAGTTGAACGATGAGCTCATATTATTAGAACCGAATGACAATCACAAGGACGAGTTCGCGAACGTCCAGGAAAGATTTTATTCGCTTGCAGCGAAAAGCGAAGAGTTATTGAATCCCGGCGTTAATGGCGTATCTCATGGCGTATCCGATGGCACCCCGGTTCACGACGATGCCAGTGCCGCGGTTACTCAGGTTGTCGCGAGGCGAAAAATAAAGTTACCCGTAGTGCCTTTGCCCAATTTCGATGGACGTTACGAGAATTGGTTATCTTTTAAAAATACGTTCATCGCGATAATAGATTCTCGAGCGGACTTGTCCGACGTAGAAAAACTACAATATTTGCACTCAGCATTATCGGGCGATGCGGCCAATAAGGTAAAAATCTTTGCTATCGAAGGCACGAATTATAGTAAGGCATGGAAATTGCTAGAGCGCGCGTATGAAGTTAAACGGATTTTAATCTCGCGTCACTTAACCTTACTTTTAAATTTGCCGACGCTAGAAAAGGAAACAACCGAGGGTCTATCGAAGCTCGCCGACGATGCGCAGCAGCACGTTGCATCTTTGAACACGCTAGGAGTAGAAGTAGGGTCCGAGATACTTGTCAATATATTAGAGAGCAAACTACCTAAAAACACCGCGGAAAAGTGGGAACAAACACTAAAAAGAGACGAGTTTCCAAACATCGAAGAACTATAGGAATTTCTCTATCGCACCGCAGTTCGCGTGTCTAAGCGCAGTCGGACGGAAATATCTAAACGCGAAGACGACAAACATGCACCTCCCGCTAAAAAAGCACGAGCATCCAATAAGGTATTTACTATTAATACAGCAAGTAATTGCATAGCATGTAAAAATAAATCACATCCATTGTTTAAATGCGAAAAGTTCAGAATCTTAAACGTCCCTAAGCGCATTGAATTAGTGAAAAACGCTAAGCTCTGCTACAATTGTTTGCGTTCACACAGAGGCAGACCTTGTAACTATACTAACTGCACTATATGTCAAAAACGACATAATACAATGCTACACATTGACAATTACCCGACCGGAATAACGAACACAGACGCTACACACTGTCGAAAACAAATAAGACCTCATGACTGACGGAGGGGGTCGGCGATGGCGCGGCGGGGCGGGTCGGCGATGGCGCGGCGGGGGGGGGGGGGG